TGCATTAAATATTAGCTTAAACCTGTGATTAGAAAAGTTAAGAAAAGTTATTTTCAAATCAATGAATGTTTATAAAGGAAAATATTTAGCAGTTCATTTTTTTTTTTTATATAAGCATAACACTTAAAGTATACCTAGGCCAGATTTTAGTAAAAAAAAAGCATAGATAAGCATATTGTTGATTCTTAATAAACCATGTAAATGGTTTAAATTTTTTTAATTTAAAATTTTTTTATAATTTTAAATCATTTAAATCCACTAAAAAACTAAACACAGGTTTATGTTTTGCAACACGATGACTTCCTAAAGTTTTATTTGATTTATAACTTTTTACCTAACACACACATTTTACCTAACATAAAAGTATTGAAATAAATATATTTCATCAGAATATGTTTAAGTTTAGGCAAATTTTTTTTAAATTTGAATAAATAAAAAATGATTGGATGTAGAGTTGTGATTTATAAAGAGGCGCACTCAAATTTAGTTCATATTGAAGAATAAAATTGCTTGACTAGGTAATAAAGATTTTACAAAGAGTTATTATCAACAAAACAAGAAGCAGTTTAATTATCTAATGTGAAAAATGTGGAACTAAACGATTTTAGTTGCAGTAAGAACAAATCTTAACACTAACAATTGAAAATACTGAATCAAAAATACAGATTCCTTTATGCACTATGTCTTGACAATGCCAAAAAAAAAGTTTAAATAATAAAGGTTAAGTATATTTCAAAAAATCAATTACCAAAGATAACATAACAGTAAAATTCTGAGTCGTCTCTATTTTAATTAATTAAAATATAAAAGTTCAACTTATTATAAATCAAATATCTGGTTTTATATAACATACAAAACATTAATAGACATATAATCTTTAAAAAAAAGGTAGAAATTTCTACCTTAGGGTTTTCTATCTTCTAAAGTAGAAGATTATATTAAAAATAATGGTTTGTTATACAATTTTCTACATTAAAAGTATAATTAGAAGAGTATACCTTATTGGTATATTTTTCTACTTTAAAATTTTGGTAGAAACTTTTACCTTTCTTTTTTTTTTTTAGAGTGAAACTCAAAAACTTTTATTTTTTAAATACTCATTTGAAAAAATTATAATCATTTAAAATGTAACTTGGTATTTTATTTTCATTATCTACATCATTGATAACTAGAAAAACAGTTTTTTTTTAATTTTGTTTTATTTAATTTTTTTTGGAATCTTTATATACAATTTTTATTTGATGTATAAAAATCTTTATATAAAGATTGTAATATAATTAAGTCTAATCTATATAATTTAATACATAGAATAAATAGAATAAATTATAACAATTTGATTTCTAGAATAGTTAGAATAGGTTATAATAATTTGATACCTAGAATAATTAGAATATATTATAATAATATAATACTTAAAATAAATAGATTATTATAATAGAATATAATACCTAGATTAATTAGAATATGTTATAATAATTTGATACCTTGAATAATTTGAACACATATTAATATCTAGAATAATTAAAATTGATTAAGATTTTGCCATAATATTGCAAATGGATGAAGTATTTTTTTAATGGCAAAAAAATAAAAAATATAAATATAAGAGGAAAAGAAAAACAAATAAATATTGTTTAAAATAGAAAATTAAAAAAAACAACTAATTAAGTGAAAACAATGAAAATATTAAAGTACAAAAATTGAAGAAAAACGTTAAATAAACAGAACAAATAAAAAGAAAAAAAAAAGTTAAAAGAATAAAGATATTTGTAATAAATTCGAAAATAAAAACTTTAATAAGTTATGAAAAGAAATTAAAAAATCCATTTTTTAAGTCTTATTTATGTTGTTTGAATTGTTTATATTGTCACATACTTTTGTGTATTGTTTATACTGTTGATTATTTCTGTGTATTTTTTACATTATTGTCTATTTCTTTGTTTTGTTTATACTGTTGTGTAATTTTGTGCATTGCTTATATTGATGAGTAAATTCGTGTAATGTTTATGTTGTCAAGTAATTTTTTATGGTGTTGTTGCAAATTATTTTTATTATAGTTGGATTTTGTATTTGTTGTTATTGTTCAATTGATTTCATTTTTTTTTATAAAAAAAATTTTTTTCATTCTTATCATAATATTTAAATACATCCTTTTGTTTTATTTTTTATTTTCTATCTATCTTCTGATCGATTATCTCATTCATTCATTATCGTTTTGTTAAACGTTGTGTTATTACATTCATTCACTATCTCTCATGTCAGCTTATTCACTTTTTCCCTTTATTGTGTTATTTTCTTGCTTTTTTAAATGTCATTTTTCTTCTTTTTATTGATTATTTTTGGTCTTTATCTGTATTATTAATTTTTGTTGTTTGTTTGTTTTTAGCTTTATTTGTTTATTTTATTAAGGTATCACTCCAATGATTAGTTTTTAACTATAATAGTGACACCAAATCTAACTTTGTAAAATTATAAATAAATTGGTATTATTTTTAATTTTATGGTTAAATAAAGGGATTAAAAAATAATAATAATTTGATATCTAGAATAAATTGGTACTTATAATAATAGTCACTTTTGTCTAATTTTGAATTTTTAATATTAAATCTTTAATATTTAATACTAATACTTAGATTAGTTAATCTTAAATAAACAACATAGAATAGTGGTGAACGGGGCCCTGGCCTTGGCTAAATATGGGGCTTTTTACAAACTTGGTCCTAGCAAAATTATAAGATTTAGCTGTCGGGGTTAGAAAATATTTATAATACATTTTATATTATGAATTTATGCATATATTTACTATTTATTAAATACTGGTTTATAATACATATGGTATGAACATGTTTGATATTTATATATATATCCTGACAAACATCCTTACATAATTATATAAACTTAAGTATTTATATGGCATAGTATTTGCTGAAAGGTAAGATGATGATGAAATGAATATGTTTTGTGACTCTAACAATTCAAGAAAAGAAGCCATGATTTTAGAAAGAGATTAGGAATAATGAGTGTATTGGACAAGGTTCGTCAGAGAAGATTAAGGTAGTTTGGATATGTTGAGTAATAAAGATGCAGATGATTTGGGTATCAACTAGAGAGGTAGCAGATTTAGGAGAAAAAGGTAGCAGATTTAGGAGAAAAAGTTAGAGGTAGAAGTAAGAAAACTTATTGTTAGAACAACCTTCAATTGAGGAAAGTGGAGGATCAAGATTGTTTATATTAGAGAAACAGCATAAAAGGGGAGTTTAAAGCAATGATGTTGATGATGTTGATCATGATGATGATCATGATGATGATCATAATCATGATCATGATGATGATCATCATCATAATCATGATCATGATGATCATGATCATGATGCCTGCAAAACTTTACAACATAAAGGATAAATCCAAACTACTACACTAAAACTTAAAATCAAATTAAAAGTTGATTTAATCATGATTTTCGATTGGCTGCGAGTGGCTTTAAAGATATAATCAGATTAAAATATTGTTATTCAATCCTTAACATATTGAATAAATAAGTTTATTTAAAATGTAAACATAAAAAGAATAATTAATTTTATTTAAAATTTAAATGTGTTAATTTTGTTATAATATTATCCAAAGTAAATAAACTTTTTTTAAATTAACCTTACGTTTTCAATATATTCACTAAACAATAGTACTGAACTGCTAACTAAATTAATAATTTAGTTAAAAAGATAATTGACCATCTAAAATAAATAAATTGAATTAAGTAAAATAAAAATTAATAAAAAATAAAATGGTTTACTTAAATTTAAAATTTTGTCATTATCAAAAAGTCTAAACAATTTAAATTTACTTTGCATAATTTCTCTTAACCTCTTAAGAAAATGTAGTTACCTAATATAAAAAAATTATCTTAAATAATTCTAGAAACAGATCAAAAAATAACAAAGTAATTTGCTATTTTAAATTGTAAATAATATGGTTTATCATATATAAACAGATTTACATAGGCATTCATAGATTTTAATATAACATAAGTAAAAAATTAGTGAACCTTATTGCAAGCATATTGTTAAAGCAAAAGGGTGACTTGTGAATTTTCAGCATACAATACTACTTTTTTAAATTTTCTCAATTCTGTTATAGCTGCAGATTTGGTTTAGAAATCTCAATAGAAGATTAGTGAAGATACCTAAAAACTCCAGAGTTCAATAAATATTAAGTAATTTTAAAATCAACATTTCAGATAAACTGAAATAATTTTAAATTGTAAGTTGTAATTTTCAATCATAATCTAAATGTTATAAAGAAAAATATCAAAGAGGTATTTATTAAAATTTAGCAGTTAATATAGTACAATATCTCCTAAATACGTAAACAAAAGGAAAAATTAAGAAAAATAATTTTGAAATGACAAATTTAGTTGCACTGAATGTATTAGCACTTGCCAAAGAGTACAATATATTTGACTTTAACATCAAACAGTTGCTAACTGTGCAAAGAAAATTCTACTACTATTGACCGAGTTTAACTGAAATACTCTTTCAAATTTCTGCCATATTAATGCTTTAAAAAATTAACTAGACTTCCTTTTTCCAGAAGTTTATCTGAAAGTTAAAACAAACAAATAACTATCATAGCAGGATTTTTTAAGCAAATGCTTAAACGTAAATAACTTAAAAAATCTTAAACTTACTTGTTGTTAGCAATAATAAAAGATTAGTAATTTAATAGATTACATAGTAAATCTAATAGATTACATATAATATCTTTTTTTTATTCTCAACTATTTGTATCTGAGTATATTGCAGGTTAAAATTTTTATATTTTGTATTGTATTAAAGTTTTGTATTGTATTATTATTGAATTATATTTTTACTTTATATTATAGAAATCATAACTTTTTAAATAAGTTTATTTTAAAGATTATTTAAAGATAATTTAAATAATATTTTGTTTTTAATTGTTTCAATATTTATGAATTTGCAATAAAATGTAAAATCTCATTTTAG